CGTGAGAGCCAACCAGTTTGTTTAGGTCGGATTTATGCCAGAAAAGGTGAGATTGACTGTTAGGCATTTGGAGGGGTTTAATTTACTGGTAACATTTCCGACTGAAACTTCTATATCAGACTATTATCATCTGCCTCGTAATTTGAGCATACTCCACTGCTAGCTAATGATCAATATCCGCATACTAGTTTTTCTACCAAGAGTTCGTTTATGTGAAACCAGTCAACAAAGCTTTCTCGACTCTGTCTCGTCATCTTCAGCCTATAAACTTTTGAGTATCCTTTATATGTATTTACCTTAGGGTCAATCCAGATAACTGTTCGTTCGCTTAGTAAGCAGATATGCCCAAGCAATCAGTAAGAGTAACGAATTCGGCAATATTTATTTCTAGCCATCGTAATTGATGCCTTACACCATGAACACTTCGATGTCATAACGATAATGTTTCGTCGATCTGCAGTTTGCTATGCTTGTAGCATGGTCATGCTCATCATTATAGGTCGGCCATTCAATATATTCCGTTGGAATGTCTTAGAGTTCGGTCTAGAATAATGGCTGATAAGTTTATACTGGCCTAGAAGTTTAACTTGAAATATGGAGAAAAGAATCAAGTGGAGACAGTAGGTGAAACATGGTTAAGTTGAGAAAAGAGTAATTTGAGGAACTGTCGTAATTAGGCTGCCCAGCCAACATATGTTTACTCTTTTACCTCTGGGGACCCCTCCAAATAAAAAAGGAATGAAGACGTTAGTTAGACAAGCAAATGATTTCACCATACTCTGAAAAATGCTTCACCACCCATACAAAAGATAAAGAAATAAAACCCTGGCAAACGTAGTAATAAAATATCAGTCTATGTTCACATGTAATTCCATAATTAATCTGTACTTGTTAAGATATTCTGCCACCTGAAAAAGATAAAATAAGGAAACCAAGTATAGGTGCTTTATATAACAAATAAGACAGGAAGAATCAAATCCAATTACCTCTACAGGTTTCACAGTTATCCTCGATTGTGTACAAACGAACATCTATGTTGAAATCCTGGATCATGAACACTAGGACTCAGGTACACTAGTGACCTGACATTTTCTTAGCAAGTGGCAACACAGACGCGTAAATCGAGGATGTTCTTAGGATGCATACTCAAGAATTCCCACAACTACGAAGCGAAACTTATATTATGTAAAACATGTGTCAGACCATTACTAGAATATTGTCCATTTATTCTCAGCAGCACTCGCGTAAGTGACAAGCTTAAAATAGAAAGTGTCCAACGATACTTCACCTCTAAACTACTAAGATTCGACTGCGAAAAGGACTACGCATCAAGCTGTGTAACTCTGGTTATCGACCCACTCTTGCTGAGACGACTCAGCATTAATCTAACATTCTTCTTTAAAGTCTTGCATAAAATACCATTCCCAGACAGCAAGGAGATACAGTTCTTACCGGAAGGCTCCTAAAATCTGCGTAACCAAACGTGCACAGTATCTAGAAAAAGCTGTAAAACAGCACTCCGTGCAAACTTCTTCATAGTCATGTATTCTGAGATCTGGAACAGTTTACTCCTAGAAATAAAGACTTGTCACTCTATTATAAGCTTTAAACGCTTGCTATATGAACTGTCTCATTCCAATGACTATCCCAACCAGACTGCACCACTTAGTTCTAAAACACTAATAAATAAATAAATAAAATAATTTATTCTCATAGTACAGTACATGAGGGACGCCAGTTTACAGGCATCATCAAATTGTTACAGAAATAGAAGCATATAATTCAATCACAATTTACAGGCAGGAGCAAGATATGCTTTACATGTTCGCTGGAGATTATACATACACTTGATAAATGTTAATCCCAGTAGTATAATTAAACTCTAAGACTTCGCAAAAATACATGAAAACACAACCAGAATATAGTTAATGTTTACTATACAGTGGTATACATTTATAAATATTTATATATACATAAAACATTAATGTTCATTTCATGTTCACATACTTTCTCTTTCTGGTATTCTGCTGCTGAGCCTACACTTCTATTTACTTCCTGGTCGAGGTCGAACAACCCTACACAAACTGAAATGAAGCTGGGCTCCTGATCATTTAAATAAATTCACACTCAAATTCCATGAACGATCAAATGCTACCATTTGGAGACGCTGGCCAACATTCTGTACAAGGAGTATTCTTGATCTGAAATAAAGAAGCAACTGGTTTTCAAACAGTTTTCAATGCATTACTCAACTTACGTGTACAGTCTGTCATGCTGACACAAATGGCGCCAGTAGATAGTTCTAGAATCGACCTCAGCCCCATTTCATGCAGTAAAACAATCAAAAATGACCTTATCTATCGTATCAACGGTTAAATTCCTTTCCTATTAGAAAACTACGATTAGACTGTTGAAAAAATGGAATAAATACATCACTGACCTCAAAATAAAACATCAATAAACTTTATCTCAAGGATGCTGTTCACAACAAAGTTGTATGGGAGAATTGACTTCAAGCTTTATTTTTCCCAGATATTTGTATTACATTCATCTGATGTCTGGGCTTTTTGTTAATGCGAAGACAATATTTCTATATCTCTTTATGTGTTACACAGACAGACTATTTAGCAGACCGTTCCGACTGACTCTAATGCCAGAAAGAACAACCAAACTGTAAATTCAGTATACATCCAAATATGTGTAATTTCTACAATAACTTATCCATGCCTGTACAATTGGTATGTTCCTGCATAAACAGGAATAAATATATATTTTTATTATCTACAATTTTGACAGCATGCCTGGCGGTTGACCAGTCCTTCAAATTCGGGTGGTTCAGAGAAGATTATAAATTTTTCGTTCATGGAATGTAAAAATTCAAAACAATGTGGTTAAGGCTGTTTCAGTTACGGTACTTTGAACTCAATCAAGAACTGTTACGGTTACTGAAGTTACTGCAGTTACTGAAGAAGGCTGTCCCCAAAGAGACATTGTAAAGACATTCGCAAAAAACTCCCAGAAGTTATTCGCTGACAGCTTCTTAGCCATTCGACGCTGAGTGCGGATTTTTAGCTGGCTGACTTAGCTACCCTATTGCGTCTGCTTGTTTGTTTTGCATCTATAACTAGTCAAACACGAATAGTGCCGATTCCAAAATTTATTTCATATTCCGGAAGATTTATTTATTGTTCTAATTTTGATTGCTTACTTTCTGCCCTTCCGCGTCGAATTAGCACACTTGGGTGGAGAGATAACATACGAGCATTTTAGTGTCGTCCTATCTTACGTACCTTAATTAGCCAGGTAGCATTAGGAGGGAAGAGTTAGACTGAAGCCACAAATTTAGTGTGATAGCTGTAGGTGTAACAAGTCTTAAAACACAAATAAATAAATAAATGATAGCAGAAATGAGACTAGTTAACAAAGTAACTGACAGTACCTCATCACGGCCAGCATGACTTTTTCAACCTCTAAGCTCCTCATCACCCAGTCCATGCATAGAATCGTTCCTGGTGGTTCTTGCTGCAAATGCGGGAATTTACTGGAGTAAAGACGTAACTTAAACTGGTGATTTTCAGTGGCATACCATGTGTTTTCTGTACACTAATCACAAAAACAGTATGCCCATATTACGATAGACAGACGATGAACCATCAGCTAAGAAGCTACTTGGAAACGGTTTGGTAGAAAGGTCGGAGTTCTTTCTGTAACAGTAGTTGTTTCAAAGAGTGGACTTCTATTACGTTCCCTTCATAGTCTTATACCAGTAATCCAGTTTCAAAATTGGTATTGCTTGGATCGTAAGACACACTTCCAGTATCAAGACCCACTTACAATTGCGTGGTTGCTCCTTCTAGCTCATTTCTAACATCTGTGTTAGGTAAGGGAGGTCTCCGGAACGGTGCATGGTAATGCGAGTGAATCTATGGACCCCTAAAGTTCGAAAATTTAATTTGCCTAAGGCTCCAAATAATAGCTTCCCATCTCTGTGCTATTTAAGTTACCTAATTTCTGGATGACGTGCACTAGAAATGAGGCTCGTGACTGTTGTGAGGCGAACTACCCTGCTAAACTAGAGCTATGGCCACACTACATGCTGACTTTATAACCCGGCCCAGCTAACTATTCTGCTGAATATCAGTATTATGAGATCTTGGTACTCGATGCGTTCTAATATTCCAGATGAGTCAGAATGATTTAACTACAAACACACTCTTAGTACGTGCTTTCAATATCAGTGAATTCTGAGGGTTGCGCAACAATTTTTTATATGCAGATCCCCTCCTGTTTAGTGTTTCTTAATGTTTGTATTTTACAAGTGAGCACTGAGGAAAATTTGACCGTTTCATTGGCAGTTCAGCTGATTATCAGTAATTCTGCTGGCATATGGGGTTTTAGCCTGAAATACATGCATGACCGATTGTCCATTGCGTTGTAATATTGGGATAGTTGTACAGAATAGTGTTCAAAGCTATCCTGACATCTGGTGAAAAACCTGGCCTGAATAATAGCGAGAAACAGGCATCCCTGTCCTCATTTCGCCTGACTGAACTCAAATAGACAAGGAAAGAGGGATGCTAGTCAAAATTTGATGTGAAAAAGCTTACATTACAGCAAATCTAACGACTAGTTTTGGAAATTCTGGTATAATTTCATCGAAAAATCCCTCTAAGACTGCAGCGAAAACCATGAAACTTTCAAAAACTGATAGGTGGAATGAAGAATACATGGCTCACATTAGTGATTCGCTCCCAGTACAAGAATGGGAAAAACTCCGCAACACGGATATGTTGCGACTTAAAAAGTCCCTATGACTCAGTGGTCTTAGTGCGTTTTGAGATGTCTCACTCTAAAACATTCTGAAATTCTTAGATAGCTCTTAAACGTTACCTTGTGAGATGAATTGTTCAGCGAGCTTCAATGAGCATTGAATTTGTTCAAAAGTTTGAGCATTTGTCCTTGAGGAATTGTCCTACGCGGCTGTTTAGAATTTCCTCACGATGCCTTCGTTTGCAGGTTTTGAGGTCGATGACAGAGGTATTGGTTGTTTCCAAACGACTGATTAGTTTGCCCATGGGCTTGTATTCTTATAATTTCGCCTTTAAACGTTATTTTCCCTTCATGCTTTCAGTTTGGTGGTGCAGATATTCTTGAATCGTTAATCCAACCAAAAAACCTGATGGCAGCTACCGAGCAACACACTTAGTTATACTGTAGCAGCCAACTCAAACAGCCTTACCGATGGCATCGAAAAAGTAATCTGATTTAAGGGGCATTTGAATGAGTCAGGAAGAGAAGATGAAGTTTGATTTGATTAAACTTGAGTTTAGTTGTTGGTCATCCACCAGATTGGTTACTATGGCATAACTTTGTCACTTTTGTATGTTCTTATTACATTTAGTGCGCAAATTTATTAGCAAGTAAATTCAACCAAAAATACGGCAATCCTAAATTAACTAAATCGTAACTATGATTTGGCATTTTCATTAATTCATTATTTCCGGGATTGCGCGATATTCGTTATTTTTGGTGAAGGGATCACAGTGAATTTTTTCGGAGGGTGCATTTCACAAGTTCATATACTTTTTACCTTTCCTGTTCAGCGTTTGATGCTAAGTGTGACCTAATCAAAATTGTATTCACCCAACACTTTTTAGTCCACTGTTTAAGAAGTGGGTTGTGATTGTCGGGTCTGGTACTTTTCAGTGTTGAAGCTTGCATATTTTCTCCATTTGCATTTTCCTGTGATTATAGCACTGACTATGATGACAAATACAAGTGATTGTTATGAGGACGTGTGTTGTTCTGTACTGTTTTTCTGAGAATATTAAAAATTCCTTTCGGGGAAGTGCGATTAGCAAAACAATGAAACTTCCTTTTTTGTGGTTGTAGTTAGATGTACTTCTTCAGCATATGTAACTCTGGGGAAAGTTGCACACCTGAAATACGGCTTCCAAAATATGAAGTTTTCCAACTGCTCTAAATAGCTGTAGTTGGTAAGTACCTTTTCTATCCCTTTCCACACAATCGTGTTTACTGGATGTGATATTGTATCTGATGCGATATCTGGGTGAGTGCACAACAATGGCATTTAGCTAGAACGTACGTGCAGCGGAACGATGTAACATGTACTTATTGTATACGTTTGTCTAGAAAATTCTAAGACTGATCCTAATGTTAATTTTAAAAATTGGGATAAGTTTTTCCATATGTGTTTTTATTGCTGTAGAAGTTATATCTGACATTCTGGACCTAAAACCTGAGCCTGAAGATCATTTGGGTTCTACAATTATTGTGGATGGCTGTCCTGTTGTTGGTCCAGCTAAATTTGACCTCCTCAAAAAGTTCTTACTGGATAAATTTTCAAAAATCGGTCAGATAGTGGACCATGAATTCCCCTTAGATGATGAAAAACAAACAAAAGGATACATCTTTATTACATATGAAAATGGAAAAGCAGCATCGCAGGCCATTCGCTTGTTGGATAATGTGCCTTTAGACAAAAATCATACGTTCAAGATCACCTTACTGTCTGATTTTGAACGAGCAGTAAATGTTTCTACCGAATGGGTGCCTCCACCCAAACAAGAATATAAGGATTTGGTGAGTTGCATTTAATTAAGTTATGCCAATCTTATTCAGGGTAATCTGAAAAGTTGGTTGTTAAATGAACTATGTCGGGACCAGTTTTCTGTTGTGTACAATGATGGCGATACAGGCTCCGTTTACTGGCATACTGCAGCCGAACCTGTTGTCGCTGAAGAACGTTTACGTTGGACTGAAGGATGGATGCGGTGGTCACCCCGGGGGACTTATTTGGCAACAATGCATCCCCTAGGTGTTATTTTGTGGGGCGGTGAGAAGTTTCTGAGGGCTGGAAGATTTCCGCATAAAAGTGTCAAAACTATAGATTTTTCACCTTTGGAAAAGTGAGTTTTCAACATCATTCCTGCTCCTCATTAGTAGCGGTTTTCGTAGTATTAATTGCTGAATTAATGAAGATGGGTCGTATGTCAGTTTTGATTGACTTCAATTGATTTATGTTTAAAAAATTTAATAGCTTGGATCATCAGTCACTTTTATTATCTTCATGCCAAAGGTGGCACCCGGCAACATATATATATATATATATATATATGTATATATACGTGCATAAATCACCGAAAATCTTCAATTATTTATAGACTTCCTGAGAACCTCAGCGAGACAATCTATCTCTTTCTGAGTAACGCAGATTAACAACTAATAATTTTTTCTTTCCATCTCTAACTGCTTTCCAACTTAACGACTTAGGAATCGACTTGCTGCCAGGGAATAGTTTTATGAACTTAGAATATGCAGATGACATAGTCCTGTTGGGGGAGGATGCTGACAAAATGCAGAGTCTTCTGAACACCTTGAGCAGCAATCTTCGTATGTTTGGCATGCGATTCGCCCCTGTAAAATGTTAGATGCTGCTACAAGACTGGCCTACGTCTACCCCTAGCTTAGTGATAGGGAGTAAAGTGATAGAACATGTTGGCCACTTCACCTATTTGGGAAGTTATATCAGCACCAACGGATTGATTGGTGACCAAATCTCAGCACGGGTCCAAAAAGCTCGAGCTGCTTTCGCTAATTTACACCGTCTTTGGCGTAGGCGTGACATCCGGCTATCAACCAAGAGATGTGTGTACTGCTCAGCAGTTCGCTCCCTCCCTCTCTATGGCTCTGAAATATGGCCAATACGAGTTGAAGACATGAAAAGGTTGACTGTTTTTGATCATAAATGTCTACGATCTCTTTCTCACGTTGACGTTAGGCGTAGAGTGTTGGGCAAAGAGGGAAAAATCAATCGAAGAGGCTATAAAGTTACATAGATTGAGATGGCTAGATCACGTGCTGCGCATGCCTAACCATCGCCTCCCCCGACGGGCATTACTAGCTGATATAGGTGCAAGTTGGAAAAGAGCTGGCAGCAGTCAAACCAAAACATGGCATCAATCCATGAAATCCTTGACAGTTAAACTGAGTCAGGTAGGGAGATGCAGACTTCCGGGTTGGGGCCCTCGGGACTCTAAGAATCAATGGCTGGAGACAATAGGCGACATGGCTCAAAATCGTTGTCAGTGGCACAGATGTATTCAGTCTCTGTAATCTTTCATATTCCTTTCTACCATTACTCATTCTGTTTCACTCTTATACTTATCAAAACTCTATTGATTCTATACATATCTATACTCTATTGATTCTCTTCACTCATTTTCTTGTCTACCTTTGTATGCTGTTTGGAACGTGGCAACTCGAACTGCTGCACTTCGGTGCCAAGTTCTATGTTCAATCCAGCCAGCCAACTACTTTCAGGTGACGTTGCTAATAGAGAGAAGATAACTGAACATTCGTAGCCCCGTTAACTGTGGTAGCTTCACACCACCTAATTTCCCCTCCTAACCTAACATCACACTTACACTCATTGCTTATGGTTGGTTCAAACAAAAATATACTCGTTAAAAAACCGACAGTCTTTCCGTATCTGTTTTCACTAGTGACGCCATCGTGGGGGGCGGATTAAACTGCTGCATAATGCACGCGTCTTTTGTTGAGTAATTCTGCCATACGAGCACTGAAGATAACAAGTTAACAAATGTTTGATAAGTCTTATTTATTCATGCTGAAATTTCATAACTTGGGAAGTGAAACCTCTGATTTCCTCTAAAGTGTATTCCTCAGAATTTTAAGGTAGCATCATTGGTACATTGGTCACCCAAAAAAACTTCTTACAGCTGCTATAACCCGTAATCCGCTAGCAATTTGACTTCATCCTATCACTCTTCACGCCATTCAACCTACCTAAGGTATGTTCGAACCTGTGGGAACATTCGTCCTAGTCAGTATAGCTTGTTAATTGGTTGAGATATGTAAGTCTGACCACTACTTCAAAGCAGCAACAATCAGGTGCATTCAGTATTAGTGAGTGTCATTTACTGTAAAGTTGTACTTTAGTGGTCATCAAATGTGTTCAGTATTTGATTGTAGTTGAATATCGACCTCATTAAAGTAATGTAATACTTTGAACAAATGTACTTTTTATCTGCTATTCACTGTAAATCACTCTACGTTATATTTACATCTTCAAACAGTTTCATGATAACAATGAGTCCAAGCGCTAATTTTTCCACTGATGAACAAGATCGTCCACGTGCAGATGCAGTTGTTTGGGATGTGAAACGGTGTGTGAGTCGCAGAGAATTCACGGTTCCAATCGATTTCTATCCAGCGTTTAAATGGTCTCCGAAAGATGAATATTTTGCTTGTTTACGAGATGGTGTCATTAGTATTTACTGCACCAGCAATTTTAGGCTGCTGGATAAAAAGAAGCTGGGTGGTAATATTCGTGATTTTGCTTGGTCACCATCTGACAATATACTAGCATACTGGGTTCCAGAATCTGATAATACACCAGCCAGGTTAGTATGTGTTATGTATTAATTGTCAAATTGCCACAGAAAATCTACGTCTAATGTTATAAATTTTATCTTCCTAAAGGTATCATAGTTATTCACCTAATGTTTTTTATAGAATAGGTGTTTAGATTTAATGTGACTTGCTTGAAAACAGTAGTATGTGAGCATTTGTCGTGTGCCTAGAATTTTGTCAGCTCATCCACTTTTGACTTTCATTGAGAGTCAAACTTTTCTACTGGTGATACGATGGTTGCGAGATAAATTTAAAGCTTTACGTCATCTGGATTCCTGGCTCAGCTTTTTTATGATTATGATTACGACTATGGAAAGGTAGATGGGCACCAGTCCTATAAATTCATGGTACTTATTTTTATTACCCTTTGCGTTCCGGAAGGAGCATAGGACTTCAACAACAACTTGTCTCTATTTCATCCGGTTATCTGTAGTTCCCTTTGTCTACCCTATGATTGTCCATAAACCCTCGTTCCCTCTTCGCATACTAGCCTCGACGTCACCCTCGGACACAAGCTCGTTTGCCGTTTGAGTTCCATTCGAGGGCCTAGCGCGTGATGTAACTCGTCAGTCTCCTCAACGTGTATCCGATTTATCCCCATATCATTCGGCATATTTGCTGGTCATTAGACTCATAGTTACTTTGCTGCTAGACTTGTTTGTTGCTGATCCTTTCTGGCCAATTGATCTTCAGTATGTATCGAAGGTAGCTGCTTGCAAGTCTGAAGCCTTTTGGAAATGCTATTCGTGAAGTGCCAAGTCTCCCAACCACATAGAAGAACTGACTTCACATAGGTGTTGAAAATCCGAATCATGTTTTTCATGCCATGTGCAGCAAGCAGATTTCCATATTGGTTTCAGGTCTGTGTTACCTTTCCGATTCTGGTTTTGAAGTCTTTATCCATTCCACCTGTGGTTGAAATGATGCCTCATAGATAAGTGAAGGAAGCAACTTACGTCAAATTTCTCTTGGTGATGGTGACTGGTGCTGGTTGCTGTTGCATGCTTATCTTCATTGTCCGTCTTTTCTATGTTCAATTAGAGTCCTGTCTTCGCTGCTTCTTCAGCCAGTTAATTTGGTTTTCGCATACAGTTCTTCGAGTTTGTGTGACAAGATACATAAATGGTCTGAGAAGTCCAGATCTTCTAGAGTCTTCTTATAGGCCCGGCGTATTGCAGTCTCTTCGTTCCCCACAATCTATCACATAATCCAGTCGACCACAATCAGGAATATCACCAGTGATATTAGACAGTCTTGTCTCACTCGTGTTTTTATTTTAGAGGTTTTGCTGAGTTTTCCGTTGTGGATCACTTGACATGTGGCATCATCATATAGATGTTGAATGAGGTTGACGAAGGTTTCGGGACAGGCTGTAGTGTCGCGGTGGTTTCCGAATTACTTCGTGGTCAACGCTGTTGAAAGCCTTCTCAACGTTGATGTGGTTGAGGTAGAGATTTGACTGCCATTCTACGCTTAGTTCGATGTCGCTGCTGCTGATGATGCATGGCGTGGCAATTTGATCCGCACAAGATTTACCTTTCGTGAATCCAGGTTGTTCTGGGCTGGCGTAGTGCTGCCTGCATCCAGTGCACCTTTTATTCTCTCCAGGATGACGCGACTAAGCATTTTACTTGGTGTGGTCAAGAGCATTATTCCGCGCCAGTTCTTGCAGAGTGAGGCGTAAGTCACCCTTCTTTGGTAGTTTGACAAGGCAGCCTTTCTTCCAATCTTTAGTTGTCTTTCTTTCCTTCCAAACACTGTGCAATAATGGCGTCAGTGTATATCTGCTTCAGTCTCTGGTTCCGTTTCCAGTACTTCCGCAAGTATTCAGTCTAATCTTGTTGCCTTCCTGACTGGCCTTCAATAGCTTGATTGCATTCAAGATTTCAGCTTTTTGCTGGAGGATTGGTGTCCATTGGTAGACGGTTGTTGTTGGTATTTCTGGACGAGTTGTAGGTGATGGTCGGTTGAAGAGTCCTTGGAAGTGATCATCGCATTGTTTCTTTTCTTTGTACTCTTCGTTAATTAGGTTCCCTTGACCATCACTTATGAGTTTCTGCTGCGTTGATCTTTCCCCAGATATTCTGAGGTCTCTTTTACTTGCTACCTGTCTTTTCTGCTTCAGTCAACAGCCAGTGTGTTTTCTAGCACTCCTCTTCATTTTCTTTATTCAATGAGTTGTGTATTGAACTAAGCGTCTCCTTTCGTTGTCCATCTTTACACTGTTTCATCACCCCTCTTACAGCTGTTAGCTTCCATGTGTTTTTTGGGAGTCATTCTCTGTCTTGCCTCCTTCCTTCATCCTAATATGGTTGTACACGTCGTACATCAGCTTCGGAGAGTTCCAATGTTCTTCCACACAGGTTTCCTCAGTCCTGCCACGTAGTGTCTCTGAATTCGCTCTGTAGCTGCAGTGTAGGTGTCCTGTGTAATTTCATCCTTCAGTTTCTGAATGTTGAACTTGAATTTTGGTGCATCCTCATCTTCTTTGAAGACTTACTCGACCTCCATAGGTCTTTGCACTGATCAGTCACCTGCTCCGAGTGATTTTATATCCACTTCCTTGGGATTCAGATGAAATCTATCTGATTTTGGATGTGTCCTGCTGGTGAAACCCATGTGACCTTGTATGTACCTTTGTGTTTGTACGCACTGCCTCCAATCTCCAAATCATTGAAGGCTCACAAGTCTGGAAAGAGTTTTTCGTCCTCATTCATTTCACCGAGAACCTGTCGACCTATGATGAGTTCGCTTCCTGTATTTTCTGCTGCCGTTTTGATATCTATATAACCTGTTTAGATTTTGACGTTGTGGTCTTGACTATTAATGTTTTTACTTGTCTGTAGAATTCTTCCTATTACTCTTGATCTGCGTTGTTTGTGGGTACATCAGGTTTGATTATTGTAACTTTTCCACCTTTTGATATGAATCTTACTATTATTATCGTAGATGCTGGTGGTGACGTCGTGACAGTCACTCCCTGAGCATGATCGGGTTTGTCTTTAAGGCGACTGGAGTAGATTATTCACTCTTCATTTAACAATTTGGAGAGTCCACATCCATTGTGCCTTCTCTCACAGATTCCTAGCACTTCCAAACCGTACTTTCTCATTTGTTTTGTAATCGGAGCAGTCTTCGCGACTGCTGACTAGCTTCCCGAAGGCTTTCACCAGCCCGCGTCATTTCATCTTCTATTCCAGCGGAGAATGTTTGTATGTTTGATATTTTTAATGCGCATTGAAATTTCTGTAGCGATTGGGTTGATTTTCCGGGTTAGGGTTGCCAGCCACACACCCAACGTTCCATGTTTATCTGGGCTTAGGACCGGCTAGTAAACTAGACCAGGTTATAAACCTTATAGGATTCATTTATATTATTGCAGTAAATTCTGAAAATAGCACCAGTCCTCATGGTGAAATGTCCATGATCAAATATAAAAGCTGAGAGAACATCAAAGCATCCCTTACTTTATCGGCACGCAACTTCGTTACACGATTTTCAATCCATTTGTTTTTTATCTGCATACTATATTGTAAAGTTTCTGTAGATTTCTACATTTATTGTTTTCTACCAAACTTCACGCATTAAGTCTCATTTAAGACTATGATGTATGGAATACAAATGTAAATATGACAAACATTGTCATCATGGGTAGTATATATTGTTATTAAGTGTAAAAGTCTGTGAGTGTTCGCAAATTGAATGAGTACATTCCGTTGACTTATGCTTCATCTGCATACTTTTCTAGTTAATTTAGCAAACATTGATTACCAGTATTCCACAGTGTCCACTTTGAAAATTATGTAACCTATTATCCACTGTCAACAATTTATTCAGGGTTGTTCTGATGGAAGTACCAAGTCGTCAAGAAATATGTACTAAAAACTTGTTTTCTGTGGCTGAAATCAGTCTTTTGTGGCAGGAACAAGGTGATTTCCTAGCTGTTCAAGTGCTAAGGTGTGCGAAAAAGAAGTTAGATGGAGAAAAACAAGTCAAATATGTGGTAAGTTTACATATGACTTTTGTTTCAATTCATTCTTATTCACTGGTTACTTAGTAATGCATGTTCGGTAGAAAAGGAGAATAAAGGAATGAAAGAATAACTGAAGAAAAAAATAGTCACATTAGATACTATTTACTAGAAGATACTATGGTCACATTGTGGCTGAAATATATCACTTGTGTATGCACAATATTGACTTCTATCAAAAGTTCATTTTTAAAGGTTAATGTAGACTCAGTAATCCTACATGAATGCTTTAATCTTGAGTAGTGTAGTGTGCACCTTACTTTAAGACATCTGGTGTGATGCAAACAGCTAACTGTTGTCTGTAAACATGAACAATCTCCATCGTCATGGTCGGTTCACAATTTTTTTTCAGTGACATTGGTGTTAAATTTAAGAAGAAATGGCAAATTACAAACCTTGCATTTCACTACTGACAGTTTTGAAAACGTAGAAACAAGTAGTTATAAACTGTTGTTCTATAATATCCCTTTTCCTGCTTCACCGTAAAAATGTTAGTGAACCACCTCCTAATAACAATCATTACGAAACAGTCATGGTTGTTTTTACATATTTAAACTACCAAAAGATTTCAATGGAAAACTTCAGGCTAAAGACGAAATTTTATTACTTGTAATTATATTAAGATTCCTAAATCAGTAATCCTCAGATGTTTTTTTTCCTTCTTATATTCCTTTGCTTTATAAATCTTGTCTCTACAATCTTTTGAGTGTAAAAAATGTTTTATTTATGGTTTTATTTTTAATAACTGTGCAATATCTCTTTGCTAGTTGAGTGGAAAGAATATGAGATTAATATCCAGGGTTTATGCCAGTTTGTACTCTATTCGTTAGTACCATCGAAGTTCATTCTATTCATGACTTACACCATAAAACTCGTATTTGATTCTATGGCGAGTGCTACTGATAAGATTTATCACTAGTACATAAATAGAAGTTCATCGACAAAAAACATCAAATAGCAGGGAGATATATTTGATTTATGAGAAGGCGAACGATACAGTGTTGTGGAGACACATGGGAGACGTGAAAGGAACACAACATGAAATCCAGAAGTACCGAAACACGAAGATCTGTGCAAATGGTGCGTTGAAGATAAGGTATACATAATTTGGCTATATAGAGATACCAGTTTCCTAATAAACATTCCTTTGCCAAGTCTGTCGTCTTCTGTTACAATTCTGCTGTTTAATATCATAATAAATTGCTTTATCATCTTCCTGTTATATATTTTTAGACATCAAGGTAGATTTATATAAACTCTTTGTTTCCGTTTATGATTATAATTTCCTCTTAATTTCTCTTAACTGATCTGTGAATTTATACATGATTGTTCGTCTGACTATCTGAAATAGGCTTGAACTGACTAACAGACTATCATTGATGTAATAGGTATCTATTAGGGATGAAAACGGAAATCTATGTTGAGGCAGGATTCGGACCATTTAGTTCCTTAGTAGATATAGTTTTAAAGTTTTGCAATATCTGTATGGAATTTCAACATTTTTATAAGGAGCTGAATACCTTTCAAGTGCTTAAACTGGTACCTGAAAAATGTTATATAACAGTTCATATTTTTGTACTACAGAGGTTTACTTTGAGACCTGAGACTGGTTTATAAACCTCCTACAAGTAAGTCGGAATAAATTCTCATTCAAATCATTGACATTTCAGCAGGGAGTGTTTATGAGTCAGTTATAAAGGTAATCTTGTGTTTAATCCTTTGCATGGTTGTTAATCTACGTTTCATTTTAAAGCATTAAGAAATCTCATTCTTTATTCTTTTACTTTTTCACTTTCGGTATTTTTATGATATTAATTTCTATCTTCAGATAGTTTGTATTTATATATAGTTATTACGTACATAACTCCATTATGGATAAGATTTTATTTTGATAAATCGCAGTGTTACACAGTAATATTAACTGATGACGTTTCGAGCACAAATTATTGCTCATAATCATATCAAGTTACTCACACAACTTTTTCCTTCATTTATATATTTGTATGTAACACTATGTGATTTATCAAAATAAAATCTTATCCATAATGGAGTTACAGTCTACCACAGTGCCCAAGTTTTATACTTATATTACGTATATAAGTTTGTTCAGTTTGAGTTTCTGTAGTGGACTCAGTCTAATTTTTTTTTAGATTAAACGGTTTCTTTCCATATTTTCGTATTCAGCTTTTAGTAACTAAGCTTTATTCTCCTCGTGAATCTCTTAATCACATCTCATCTTAAGTATGATTTTTACATATTGCGCAACCTTTCCAACAAATGTGTTACGTCTTCTGGTTTCCGTGCTTTGTGATTAGATTTTACCTTTTATCATATTTGTGATTCTTCGTATTGTGTTTAGCAATCGTTATCTCCACTTTACTTCATTATGGTTATGTTCAACTAAATAATGTGTATAACTAGCCACTATCGTAGAGGATGCAAAATTACAATTTTTATAGCTGTAGGAAATAAAATCATATGGAGTATCATCATCTACTTTTTTATTTTCTCAAATGTTCGAGTCAAATGCTCCATAATTTCTTTTGAACCACAGGGTACCTACACAAATTTCGAAATTGTTCGTCTACGAGAGAAATTGTATCCAGTTGATCAGTTAGAAGTTAAAGCATCTATCTCGAACTTTCGATGGGAGCCGTGTGGTACACGTTTTGCATTCTTACAAACCGTAGCTAGTGGCAAACTATCAGTTGCTATATATGATGTATCTCGTGGAAGCAGTATTCGTGAAGTTTGTGTACTTGACCTTGCATCAGTCCGAACCAATGATATACGCTGGGCACCTAAAGGAGGACTTCTTGTTGCGTCAGGTCTAAAAAGGTTAGTCATCTAAATATTTCTGCATCCCTTTCTATAACTTAACGGAAAAACATCGATATCATTTCCAAGCAAATTAATTATCTTGTATGAATGCGTTTCACAGGTTTCATGCAGGCAGTATAGTAGAGAAAGCTAAACTGTATTTAAAAAATGGTGTGACAGAAGGTGAACAGGACCATGTTTCTGTTTCACATTATAAATGAGGTGAAGGTGAAGAGAATAAAGTGACTTGGTTGAAAGTGACTAGTTCAATAAAGTCATTATAACTTTGGGGCAACAGTAACGAAACCCTCAACTCGTAAATTTTAATATCTCAGTAACCTATGACTTAAAATGTTGATTTGTGTTGATTATCAGAAAGACCGGTTATTTAGGAATTTCTTTTTCGAGCTGATAATTGCATTATTTGTCTAGCTTTCTCATCTTTTCAACTTGAAGAGAGTTTAGTGTGAGTAGCTTCGACTCTTTTAGGTACCAAGCGTACCACCACCTTTTAATTTATGTGGTTAATATTATAGGTTTGTAAGTTGTGCTATGATAATTTTTTTATAGGATTACTGGTCAGGTTATTACTCTCTTACTTCTACTCATTTTTTTCCTTTATTACATTTCACTGCTTCGCTTCTTATTCGATACTATGTTAATTGTCTTTATTATTATTTTGTAAACTTTTGCTTGTATTTTTGCGATCTAGTGCTGATGGCATAATTGAGTTCATCTCAGCTGATGAGGGTCAAGTCTTAGCTAAAGGCGAGCACGCTATGGTTAGTGATGTGCATTGGGATCCCACAGGAAGATATTTAGCGACTACTGTAACTAGTTTCTACCAGAAAAATGATAATGCAATATGGTTTTGGAATTGTGTTGGTCGTTGTTTGTTCAAAATGAGTTTACGTGGTATCCGTTCATTCAACTGGAGACCACGACCACCAACGCTACTTACCGCAGAACAGTTACAGGTAAATTTTCTCTATAAAGCTAAATTTCACATGAAACAATTAATGTCATATAAGTAATATTATAGTGTGCTGTTAAATATTATGACATTGTGATTTTGATTCTTGTAAGAGATTTCGATAGAGACTAATTTGTACTAACTGTGTAACTTTATGGTTAGTTTGACCGTGATTTTCTGTATATCGGTACTTATCATTTTGATAGTTTCGTTTACATATGCAAAAACTTGGATTGTCTATGCAAGTCATAGTGTCAACAATTATTGTAACCAGACGACCGCCTTTTATCGTCTGTTTTGTCTTTTTGAACTGTTCAATGTAGCAGATATATGAAACTTTAAATACTTCATTCCTAAATTACTTGACTAGTTAGTAATGCATTCCTTGATAATGACTAAGTTTAAACGTATTTACCGATGTTCAGATAAGTTTAATCATCAAATAAATGCAGATAGACGATTTTATTGCTATGCCAATCGATGTAGGGAAAGGCTGTGGTCGCTGATTATTGTTTGTTGTGCTGTTTTCTGGTGGACAACAATCACTGAATCATTGTGATCGTCACACAGATAAATTTTAATTTACTGTTTATCAAAGTAAACTCACTGATTTAATATCTTCACTTTACTTTATCCTCATGTAATAGAATATTAAGAGAAATATGTCCAAATATAATAATCAATTGGCAAATGAGGATCGTATGCTAGCTTCGAAGGCTAGTAGAGAATTGTTCGAAAAACGACAGAAATTGCTGGCCGAATTCAATGTTTGGAAAAATAATGTTATTCGTTTACATAATTTGGATGAACAGCAACGCTTAGTATTACGAAGTAAGCTTTATTTTACAAACCCGTATGAAATCCATTTGTTCACTTTATATATTTTTTGCCGATTGGTAAAATATTTTTAATCAGGTTGTGTCGCTATGAAATAATGCTTGTTTGTACATTGGTTGTGTCTCTGAAGTAGTACAGTTATTATGAATATGAAAGTTGGTTGGTTGCAATAGTCATTCGATATGTTTGAAGGCTCAGTATACGGTTATTACGTCACAAAATGTAAATCACTTCTGTAACTGGTTAGTACTGTGAAGGCACTTATATTTTAGGTGCAGTTCTTCGCCTTATCAGTGTACGTGAGTAGTATTTAGTATTGACAATAAGCGTGCAACTTTCCTTGATGTATTGCTTGGCCTACTACATGTTGAATAGTTTCAGGTAGTCTGGAAATTTCACACTTTTTTGTGATACGTTCCTTGATGTTTGCGTTGCATTTAGTTTCCGTTAAGTTAAGATAATGATATAATTAACCTTTTACCCATCTGTTTGGAACAAAAACGTGTGCGGATGAATGCTCTAAGTGAATGAAGCAAACATTGTTTGTCTGCTCGAACTTGGGTAGATAGACTAATGTGCGAACCTTACAAGCTGTCTAAACCAATCGAGCACTACCACTTATGGTAAGAATTACACTTTCAGTAATTACATATCCATATTAATTGCTTTTCATACTGCTCAGCTTTTCGAACTGAAAAATACTGTATTTCTGCACTGTAGAGTTAAGTGATCATTTTTATTGACACTATTTATCGTGCATATCTGACTAGAGTTCAGTCTTCTTTTAATTTTTGTTCTTTTTCAGAAGGTTGTAGTGCTGATGGAGCATCTAGTAATCCTACAATTGAAGAAGAATTAGAACTTTTGATCAGTGCTGTACAAGAAACAATTCGTAAGAATACAGAAGAATAAATTCAGGAAATTATTCACTCTTCATCCTATCTAAAACCGTATAAATTACAGAAAAATACTTTTGGGATTTGAATGTGATATGCTTGTAAAATTTCAGAATGATTAATGGAAAATATATAATGGTCTAGGTATCCTAGTTATTCTAACTTTATTTTGTGTCCCATTATCGAGCAGTCTGCTGTTTTACTAGTAATAATAAAAACTTTATTTATTTAAAGCATGCTTGCATATTCTAGTCACCAAGCCTCACATTTATGGCGTTACTCATTATTCAATGGAATGTACCACTTAGTATCAAATAGTTGAACACTACTTTCAGAAATCTAATATCTGAAAGTAGACGTTTTGAGTCTCAAGGCACTCTGATCGCTATCCTCTTGAGGTCTTGTAATTTCACCCACTGTTGTCAACACTTTATGGAATATCAGTAGTTATGTGGTTTCAACACAAAGAGTATCTGATTCGCTTCAATCAACTTGTTCACCACAACGTTTATGAAGTCCATCACCAAGTAAAAGAAACTTCATCAAGATCCAAACATAAACTGCAGAAAATGTCTACTGCTTTATTCCCTTATACAATTCGTAGGTGGTAGCAATATGATCTATACGAGTTCAGGCTTAAGGACAGAGTGAGAACTCCAGGTATTATAAGAATAATAATGTGTGACGGAATTTGGTGCTTGTCGGAAATATAGTGTGGTCAGTACGGAAATGCAAAAACGATTCTCGTTATCAGGGATGTGACTAACTAGTTCCTGCTAAATATTAGAACGACTTAATGTCCAGTCTTTGCATGTCCAAACTTTGATCACTCTCTGGTTCGCGCATATTTATGCTTACGACTAAATGGACATAAGAAATTGTTGGCAGCGAAGCAGTTACGCCCCCCAACTGGATTACGACTCTGAGTCCCTATTTAAGGAAGAAATAGCGAAACGAGTATCTGAGGTCGACAGCAGGACTTCCCCCGAGGTAGCCTGGCACAACATACAGTTAGCTGTGGACACAGCCGTGAAAGCTGTCAATAAGCTAAAACCTAAAGTTAGTAAAAGCCATTGGATCTCTACCGCCTCATCCGAACTGATTGACGCAAGAAGACTGATTCCAGCGAGCTCCGATTATGATGAGGAGCGAAAGGTACTTAAACGAAGACTAACAAAAAGTCTTCGCAACGACCGTGAACAGTGGTGGGCGACAAAAGCGTAAGAGATGGAAAAGGCATCGGTGATTGGCAACACCAGGCAACTATACAGGCTTATCAGGGAAACGGGTGGTAAAAGGCAAATGATACGTGAAACAATCTCTGAGAAAAGTGGTACCATAATTAGCTCCCAGGATAGACGACTGCAACGCTGGAAAGAACACTTTGAGGAGCAGTTTAATTAGCCTACAGCCACACTCAACTTACCGAACATCCAACACCTCCCTGAATGGGATATAGACACAGGTCCTTAACTGAGGTTACTAAAGCTGTCACTAATCTGAAGCAAGGCAAAGCAGCGGGACCTGATGGAATGACTTTAGAGGTATTTAAGTACGGTGGAGACAGTTCACTGTCTGCATTAACTGAGGTTCTAGGCAGCGTCTGGGAATCAGAAAAAGTCCTATCGGGTTGGTGAAAGTCGCTGATCATCCCGATATACAAGAAGGGAGACCAGTCCTCTTGTGATAATCACAGAGGGATTAGCTTGACTAATGTAGTATCTAAAATCCTAGGCTCAATAATACTGCGTAGACTAAGTGGTGCTCGGGAGGCACAAACACGAGAAAAACAGGCAGGTTTTAGGCCAGGAATAGGGTGTATTGATCATAGATTCACCCTTTGACTGATTCTGGAACATAGGCATACTTACCGGCGTCTAAAAATCGTTATATTTCTTGACTTAAAGGCGGCATTCGATTCTGTCGACCGAGAGTTACTATGGGGATGCTTGGCTGTAAAGAGAATGCCGAGAAGATAAATTGCACTGATTAAGGCACTCTACTCGAACTCATGCAGCCAGCTGAAAGCTTACGGCGACTTGTCATCTGAAGTGGTGTTCGTCAGGGATGCCCACTATTCCCATTTCTATTCAATTTCATCATAGATGTACTAATGGACTTAAGCCTAACTCACTTCAGCGACTCAGGGATTGACTTGCTACCAGGGAATAATCTCGTTGACTTAGAATATACAGATGATACAGTCCTTCTAGGTGAAGACGCTGACAAAATGCAGTCTTGAGCTGCAATCTTCGTATGTTTGGCATGCTATTTGCTCCCGCTAAATGTAAGATGATGCTACAGGACTGGACTTCATTGACTCCTAGTCAACGGGTTGGTGGCTGACGAAATCTCAGCACGGATACAGAAGGCTCGTTTTGCATATGCCAGTTTACGCCGTCTCTGGCGTAGACGTGTTATCCGGCTATTGACCGAAGGACGTGTGTAGGAAGATGTAGACTGCCTTTCTGGTTGGGGTCCTCGGGACGGTAAACATCAATGCCTGTAGACAATCGGTGATATGGCTCAAAATCGCTCTCAATGGCGCAGATGCATCCACTCCTTGTGACTTATAATTTCCAATAAAACTATATTGTCCTCCGATATTACTATTCTTTTTGCCTCATATCTCTGTTTATTGTCTCTTTTTACTTTGTTCTCTGACTTTGTGTGCTGAGTGAAATGTGGCGACTCGAACTGCTGCACATCGATGCAAAGTTCTGTGTTGAATGCAGTCACTCATTCAGCCTGTGCGTTCAAGTCCTCACCTAGAACTGTATATCTGTTAAGCGCTCTTGGTTGGTAAAATCACCATGCTGTTGATAGAGCTATTCTTGAACGCAATCCTTCATTTTATAAATAGCCATCATGAAAAGGTCGTCTCACTTCTAATCCTTATTTAAGTTTGTAGCCCAACAGCACACAGATATCTTGTATAGGGTTATCGGCACCAGCCAAACACTACACTATCCACTGAGCTAACAACTTGGGCAGGCAGGCCAAGGTTCAGAGCTATGATAAATGTAAAGATGATAGTAATATTTTCCCGCACTTCATGTATGAGAATAACAATAGTAATATGATGGTTATGAATTGTTTTGAATATATGGTTTGTGAAGCTATGAATCTTATTGTCTTTCTACGTTTCCTGTTAGGGTCAATATGCTGTCTAAATATCCAGGCCGAAGCAAATGGCTACCTTGTTAGACAGTCCTCATATCTTTGAGCCCAAAATCTAAGCATGAAAACAGGAACGCTGCGCTTCTATGGGCTCATATGCTATTCATGCATTACGGATACTACAAACTGTGTGAATTATTGGCTTAAAATGAGGGTTTTACAACTCCCTTAGGTGGATTATTTGCGGTCTTTCTATTCTGTAGGGGTAATGCACCTCTTGAAGGCAGTAAATTGTTATGGACGAAGAATCACATAGGCTATGAAGTCGATTTTCACTGTATGCTACTCAACACGATTATTTTTGGTTTTAAATAGTTATTCCATGTTAGTTTCTTTAAGGTACGTCAAACAGCGATAGTATTACATCGATTTTATAAGGTAGAGATTATTCATTAAACTAAGGCGGAAAGTTTTACGTGTATTTGTTATTGAGTTCAGTTGGAAAGAGTGAGTTACTGGTCACAAATCAGTGTATTTGATACATATTTTGAAAACATTGATGGGATATAAGTCCTTACTTCCCAGCACTCACTATTTTTTCGATTATAGCTTGATTCTACTCCGTATTTTCGGTACAAGTATGGAATTTTCAGCATATGATATCGGTAGCCCGAATTTTGCAGGCCGACCATTGATATCAGGTGTGCATCGGCAGGGGATCGAAACCCGGACCATGTGCATAGTCGGCGCGAGTCATTCCTTGCTTTCCAAGTGGTCTATAGGGCCTTGGCGGCACAACTCAACAGCTGACACTGTCTGCTCAGAAGCTGCCATTTCCTCCTCACATTGGTTTTCTCCATGTCACCCTCAGACGCCCAAATCTTCGTCTCTCATTCGAGGGCCTGGCATGTGATTCCACTTAGAGGTCCCCTCAGCGTATCTCTATTCCATTTCGAATTTCTTCTGCACACTTGCTGAGCAATGGAATCGTGACTGGTTAACTGCCAAATTTCATTGCTGATAACCATTTCTCCCCGACCATCTAATCATTATCAATATCGAGCGAAGTAATCTGCCGACGAAAGTTGAAATCAGTCTTTGGGAAATAAGTTCCTGAACCACATGGGAGTAATAATTTGACGTTATAGTTGAAAATTCAGATCGCGTTACTTCTGCTGAGTGCTGCGGAGTAAGGTCTGCGTTGCTTTTCTTGACTTTGACATCCTCATCTGTACTGCCTGTCCAGGTAAGTGAGAAAACGAATTTATTTCGAATTCCTTACACTAGTGGTGATTGTTATCGTTGGTAGGACAAATTCATTGAATCAGTCTTCTCTTCGCTCACCTGAAGTCCTTCTTTTGCTACCCTTAGGGCCAACTTGTCAGTCTGGGCATTGCATCTGTTCGCTAATTGAGTCTCTTTCACTACCTGCTTAACTGATACAGGGATGGAAGGTCTCCCTAACCTGCAGACTGTTCTGATTCAACTACCGGTATTTTAAAAAAGCATCCTTGGTACTTTCTAGAGCTACTTCACCGCTTTGTTCAGTTCACTGATATTATCCTGATCTACTTTCTTTATCCATCTCTGCGTCGGTTAATCTTCTGCTTCACCATTCTACTCACCCCTATCAGCTTTAACGTGTCCGTAGTGATCTGTTCCTCACCCTGACCATAGTATCTATATGCGTCGGTTTCAAAGGGTTCCAGTGTTTCTTCATGCAGGTTTCCTTCAAGATATTGCTTGGTTTCTCCGAATTTTCATTTACTATTCCCGTGGTGTCTTTTATGGCTTTTTTCATCAGTATCTGAGTGTTGAACCTGAATTGTGGCTTATCTCCAATTCCTTTGAAGGCTATCAAATTGATCTTGAAGTTGCCTTGCACTAGATAGTTAT